TTTTACAATCACCAGAATAGTCCTCGCCGAATGAAAGTTCCATTCCTCTTTGACAGCACCTACACCTGAGCCAGGTCTCAGTCATAATCAATATAAAGGAGAGTAGACATCCCTCTTCTCCCTTCCTGATTACTCACCCACACCCTCGTGTTCCTCAAGGATCAGGTCCTGAGCCTTCCACATGACCAACATGTCCTAGCCATTTCTCCCATTTCTTACTTAACTCCTTTACACTGCTATGCTAAGCCTTCACAGCACTCTGTACCCTGACAGTGACAGAGTTTTTTGTAAAAGTAAGATAATTTTAGTAAGTAATTTAGAACCCCATTACATATTGTTCGTTATACTAAATTTCTCTCTCTCTCTTTTTTTTTTTTTTTTTTTTTTAAAGATTTTACTTATTTATGTGACAGAAAGAGACAGCACAAGCAGGGGGAGTAGCAGAGGAAGAGGGAGAAGCAGGATCCCCACTGAGCAGAGAGCCCGATGCAGGGCTTGATCCCAGGACCCCGGGATCATGACCTGAGCTGAAGGCCGATGCTTAACCGACTGAGCCACCCAGGGGCCCCTGTTATACTAAATTTCTTATGTGTGAGTTTAAAGTTAATATTTAAGCAGAATGTAAGGTCCTTATGGCCAAAGACCGTAACTTCTTTTATTTTATCCTTCCTTTCCTCCATTTTTTCTCTCTCACTCCCTTTCTTTCCTCCCTTTCTCCTTTCTTTCCTATAGATTAAAGTATTTCACATTCTTAGAAATGTCTAGATAAGGTGTTGTATTTATTTCAAGGATAGAAATAGGGGTTAGAGACTTAGAGAATGTTCTATGGGAAAAAGGGTAATTCAGTTTATCTTTGCAGAACATCCAAGAGATGGAAAGAGGAGAATTCAAGGCAGAGGAATGGTATGATTAATGATATGAAGAAAGGCCAGTGTGGGATGTGTAAGGAACTGCTCATTTTTGTCAGAGTAGAGGACAATGGAGGAGAATGGTGTGAAACCAGGGCATGGAGAACCACAAGCACCAAGAAGCTGAGTAGTTTGGGCTAGATTCTATTAGCACTGGGGAACAACTAAAAGTTTGGAGGCAGAGGGTTTATTAGAATTTAGCTGGGCTTCCAGAAGATTGACTTCATATGGGAGGCATAATGGAAAGCCTGAACTAGAGAAAAGACAGGGGACATAGAAATGAAGGGTTCTCCAAAAGTGACAGAGTGTAGAATCAATGGAGCTTTACTGTTTACTAGATGTAGGTCACAAGGAAGAGGAAGGAAGGAAAGATGGCAGGGACACTGTGATACCTGGTGGTAGGGAGGATGATGCTGTTGTTAATAGAAACAATAGAGAAGGAGGGACAGTTGTGACAGAGATGATGACTGAACTTCTTTTAGGCTGAGCACCTGTTGTAGAGTAAATTTTTTAAAGATTTTATTTATTTATTTGACAGAGATCACAAGTAGACAGAGAAGCAGGCAGAGAGGCAGAGGAGGAAGCAGCCTCCCCGAGGAACAGAGAGCCCTTTGCGGGGCTCCATCCTAGGAACCTGGGATCATGACCTGAGCCGAAGGCAGAGGCTTTAACCCACTGAACCACCCAGGCGCCCTGTAGAGTAAATTTTTAATAATAGTTTACTGATCCACGGTTGTACTGCTGAAGATAATAATGCCTTTTTTTTCCCCTCACAGATGACAATACTAGATCTTAGACTGGCATGCTTAATTGTACATTTTAATTGTAAATAATACTACAACTTTGTTCTCAATAGACCAAAGCATAACTATTATATGAGGTTCTCTCTACATCGTGAGGGTTGGGAGGGGAAGATAAGCTTTAATAAGTTGAGTTGAGAAGATACAGTGTCTAAGAGGCCAAAGGACCTCATTGTTGATGTCTCATATTTACTTAGTGGCACAACGAAGACCAGACCCAGTTCTCCTGATAGCCAGTGGTGTATTTAGTTTCTTATCTGAAGGGAGAAGAAGGCCTTGGCAAGTTCAGATGTGGTACAATTCTGTGCTTGTATTTCAAGTGTTTTGGTAAGTATACTTGCAGAAGGAGGAAGGATATATTCCCTTTTGTGGTTTATAAGATATAGCATTCTCTTTAACATGAAATAGAAACTTCCATCAAGTAAATGTTTCCTGATGTCCCTGTCCTTTCACTTAATTGTTTTCTTTCATTGTTTTTCCTTCATGAGAATCAAAACAATACAGTTATATAACTTACTGTATCCACCTAGTCCTAATTTTCTCTTAGAGGTAACCATGGTTAGTGGATGATAAAGATCCTTTCAGACTTCAGTTAAGCAAACATAAACTCTCTCTTTGCCTTTCCACATCCATTTCCAGAACTGTCTCATAAAATCTTTCCACTCTCCCTTTGACTGCCAGCTGGATATTGATGCTCAAAGTAACATTGAGAGCCATGGTGCTGAACTGTCTACCAGTCTGGGCCCCTGAATGACTACGTGGAGCAAGCCCTCCTGGGGACTGGATGGTAAAGAAGCAAGAAATAACTGTCTATCATGTTGAGCCACTGGAACTATAGGGCTTGTTCATTTCAGCAGCTATCACAACCTTAGTTAGATCAGAGGGTTTCTTTGTTGTGGCTGGAGTGAACTGGACATTGTCTATTTTTTTTTTTTTTGGCATTAAAAATGCTAAAGAGAAGTTTAAAGACAATCTTATTTGTCCTCCTTGGGTTGGCCTTTGCTTATTATATTTACTTAAACTCAGCTGCTCCAGAAATGATGATGCTCTAGACAATACCTCATTTAGTATGTTAATCATCAGAATACAGAATAAGTCCTTTGAATTTGACTCTATCATATAAAACATGCAGAATGTTTTTTTGAAGGTGAGATAAAGAGCTATCTAAAAGTAAAAAGCCTATGGTTCCCTTTCCGGAATTTCTTTCCATTCCTGAAAATGCAAAGCAGACCAGCCACCAATATACAGATTCTTGTATAGAGGCAACATGGATATGGTCAAGATAAACCAGTTCTGTTAATGTGACTGCACATCCTCTGGAAAAAATGTATATGTATATATTCCTCTGCCAACCCCCTAAAAGCTTAGAATCCAGTCATTTCTGTTTTCATCCATGTATTTTAGTAGGCTACAGAGAAACTCAAAACCTTACAGAGGAATAAACCTTTTTTCAGATCTAAGGAATTTCACTGGTTGATGAAAGTTCAAGCCAGATCCACTGCAGCTTAAATACATTTTTTCCCCTCAGAGTAGAGTATATAATCGAGCGTAAATGTGCTTCAAAACAGTTCTCAGATGTTCTGTTTTATATAGAGTCCAAGATGTATAGAATCTAAAAGCTCCACCTTAAAAATAACTTAATTACTCTTGTTGCCTCAAAATGAAGCACGAACTTCTAAACATGATGTATATGTTCTTTTTTTCCAGGCTCTTGTTTACCTCCTATGCTCTGCAGCTTGCATTCTGTGTACCAGCCACTCTGAACCCCTTTAGTTTCCTCAGGGTGCTGTGCTTGCCTTACCTCCAGCCTTTGCACATACTGTTCCCACTACCCAATTCCCTGCCAACTCCTTTTCCTTACCTTACTTCTATTCATTCCTCAAGTCTCTGCTTCAAGATCATTTCTTCCTTGTAGCCTATCCTGACTGTTCTCCCAGGCCAGGTTAGGCGAGCTTCCCATCTCTGCCGTCAATACGTTATCAGAACACTTCACATGTTGTAGCATAATTGAAGTTCATCAGTTGGTGTCCTTCTCTAGCTCGGAGCCTTGGTAAGGTCAGGGTGAACTGTTTACCAACACTAAGCCTATTGCCTACTATGAAGCATAGTAGGTGGTGAGAAATATTAAATGAAGGTTGCTGAATCTAGATTAACTCTCCTCTGATGTTCTAGCCTACCACAACATATAGAAGCTGATGCTAATGACCCACCGACCACAGGACACTTAACTGGAATAGTCTTATTCCCCAGGATCTCTTGAGGCCAAAAGAACTGAAGAGGTAGAAGAGTTGAGCATAAAGCACAGTTTTCCTTTGAACAGAATATAACTATATTCTGTGGTCAAATTCATGCCCCTGAGCTCGTCACTCTTAAGCTCTAACTAAAACAGGGTAATAGAGACTGACTCGGTAAATGATCCAAAAGGCTATAAACACAATTCAAAAAAAACAAACCTCTCCCTGATTTTGATTATGGAAGCTTGCAGATCTGTTCCTTCTAATCTGACACGCAGGACAAACACTCCAGCAACAGCAAACCAGACCCTTCTACTCCGCCCACCCATCACTGCTCAGCAGCGTACCCACTGATTTGGGAACTCCTCTTGAAGTAACATTTGATTTGCTCCAGAGTATCTCTGAGCTTGTACACTTTGTCCTCTCTCAAAACAAAGCAGGGTGTTGGCATTAATCTCCCTGACCCCGGTCTTAAATGTGGCCTTGGATTTCTAATCGTGATCTTTCACCATCACTTTCTTGTCTCAAGCTTCACTGCGGTCTTCTGAAAGTCGGTGTCAAACAAAGCCGTCCTCCACATGGCCTGGTCTGAGCTGCTGCCATTCCATCGCCATTATCAGGACTCCCAATGACTCGAGGCCCCAGGACTTGGTTCTCAAATACCAGTGCTTCCAGGACAATTTCGGGCATTAAAGTATGGGCAAGGGCTCCACGGGGAGAGGGAATGCTTACCTAGCACTATTTTTCTGGCATATAAGAGTAAAGCAGAACAAGAGAGACTTTAAGAAAATGGCAGCATGACAGCTGGGATTTTTCTCAGGTCACAGACAGATGTAGAAACAGAGAAGCCCCAGCTCCACACCCTCAGTTCACCAGCGCATTCTCTGCTGTGGGGCCCTATAAAGAAGGCTTCTGCAAGGGGTGTTGGCTGGGGCCAGCCTACCCAAAAGTATTGTCGAGAGTCTTCAGGACAACAGGGGGAAGCAGGGATGCTGTGCGTTTATTCTCACTAATACTGCACATGCAAACTGCCCAGCAACCCATGGCTACTTTCTTACCTTGTGTAACTGGTAATACTGGAAGCCCCCGATTCCACCTTGTTCCTCGGCAGTCCAGAGCACCAAACGCAGAGTCCTCTTTGGTCGCAGCCCTGGGGAAAATAATTAAAAGAAGCGATCATTCAGTTGATTTTAAATTTTTTAAAAAATGGCAAGGCCCCTCATCTGCATTCTGGAGGCACAAGGACATCAGAGGCACACATATTCATCTCTTGCTGATGTGGCTGCTGCCCGATGCAGACTGTGGCTGACACAGCAAAACAGTGCCCTCAGGGCTGATCTCTAGGGCAGGTTAATGGAGAAAGGGGTTGTGCAAGTGCTGCCTGCAGGCCAGGAAGTGAGAGCCTCTAATCCCATCCTGAACTGACAACTTGCCCAGCAGGACCCAGCGGATGGCCAAGGTCGGTGGAATGTTAGATTGCATATAGAAGATGCTGTTAGCAGGAGTCCAGGCAGATCAGGGCGTCTTGCGATGATTAACAGAAACCAATCATCTGGCTCTACTTCCAGGTAAGGTGTGTAGGGGATTGCTTCTTAGTCTCAATCCACAAGGATAGCTAGCTGCCCATGCTATCCTTGGTGAGGTCATGGCTGTGAAGCAGAGGCAATGTTATGGCTACCCATGGTCCTTCTCCTCTACTATTTGGAAATACAAGGTTATTCACTTAAGGTCAATGAAAACAGATGGAACGCAGATGACATTTTACTTACCTTCTTATTTCACAAACAGCTTGGTGCCAATTTCATTGACTTGAGAAATACAAATTTGTATCTTGGAAGTTATTAAAGTTGTTGGCAGATCTGGCATGTCTAGAACCATTTTTGAGTGACTGTCTGCTTAGTAGAAGTTAAATGAAAGGAAGTCTATTTCTCAAACTTAAGAAAATGGGAACACAATATGCTGGAAGTCCCATTTTGTGACCAAGAATTAAAACCTGTTCTGATTTGGACCTTATGATGTTGTTTCAGAGAAATAACAATGACAGAAAAACAAGAAGCTTGAATCTTATTAAGAGACTCCATCCTCCTGCCTCAGGACAGGGAGCCACAGGGAAGGATTCGGTGGCTCTGAGAGGGACCCACTACAAACCTCACATGTAAGCACATGCAGACGGCCACCTGGGCATGTGGCCTTCAAGGGAACAGGTTGGTCAACTGTAGTGCGGATGGGAAGGCTCCTAGGGAATGAAGCTCCGACCTGCCTCCTCCCAGCACCGACAAGGGTTCTCCTTTCATAAGCCCAGAGCTAGGGAGCTGAACAGGATCTACATTTCCCATTAAATTGAGTATTGTTGTGAAGCCACTTTGTATGTGAGCATTTTACCATCATTAAAAGAGCACAGCTTTAGGTTATGGGCTGACCTGCGTTCCCATTAAAGCCTGGGCAAGAAATTTCTATATCGAATTGTTCAGAAAATCCCACTGATGCTTTCTCCTAAGTCCACTAGAACCCAGCTTCTCACCTCTGCTAGCACTGTGGTACCACTGTCTTCTCCCTGGGCTGCTGTCACCCCCCTAACTGCTCTCTCTGCACCAGTCTCTCACCCCTCCAGCCAGAGAACTCCTGTAAGAGTGAAACCGGATTGCCTCATTTCTCTGTTCAAAACCTCCCATAGACAGATTATAAGCTTCTAGAAAGCAGGGGTTTATGCTTCTTGGTCCCCTGTGATACCCCTAGTGCCCAGCCTCTTTGGCACATATTAGGAGCCCAATAAATAGGTATTGAATGAATAAATGAATCCAAAGCTTGGAACGTCACTTGGAATAAAATTCAAAGCCTTCTATCACTTTCCCAGCCTCATCTCCTAAAACTCTTCAGCTGGCTCACTCCCAGGCAAGCTGTTACAGTTAAAAAAGGCAGACAAGGGGGGCGCCTGGGTGGCTCAGTGGGTTAAGCCACTGCCTTCGGCTCAGGTCATGATCTCGGGGTCCTGGGATCGAGCCCCGCGTCGGGCTCTCTGCTCAGCGGGGAGCCTGCTTCCTCCTCTCTCTCTGCCTGCCTCTCTGCCTGCTTGTGAGCTCTCTCTCTGTCAAATAAATAAATAAATAATCTTTAAAAAAAAAAAAAAAAAAAAAAAAAAAAAGGCAGACAAGGCCGCCTGGGTAGCTCAGTCATTAAGTGTTTGCCTTTGGCTCAGGTCAAGATCCCTGGGTCCTGGGATTGAGCCCCCATGTCAGGCTTCCTGCTCAGCAGGGAGTCGGTTTCTCCCTCTCCCTCATCCCCCCACCCCCACTGTGCTTTCTCTTTCTCTCAAATAAATAAAATCTTAAAAAAAAAAAAAAGCAGACAGAGCTGGTGAGCCCTGCAATCTTTAGGCACTAGCTGTGTAACCACTGGGAAACTGATCTACCTGAAATTCAGCCGCCTTATCTGAAAAGCGGAGAGAATATTATATACCTATTGCATAACTATTTCATAGTATCATTGTGAGGATTAAATGAGATGTGATAATGTACAGAAGACAATTCTGTGCTTGGCATGTGATTGACATTTAAACACTCAGACAGGAAGTTCTTTCATAGGCATTTCAGTGACTGCTGACAAAGAATCCTGAAGTACCCACAACCTGCTCCAGAGTCTAACTAGCTGCTCACACGCACAGCACAAACTTGTTGCGGGAAGAAGTCTACTCAATAGATCTAAAAAAATCACAACTTTTGGTTTATCTAAAAGAAATGTACTTAATGCCAATTTAAATCAAACGACATTTTGCTTGCAACACAGACAAAATAAGAAAGGATAAAGTATTGCAAATGAAAATTCTGAACTTTTTTTAATCCATAAAAAGGAAAAAATACACTTCCTTTTTACCTTATCTCTGCACTTACCAGCAAAACAACGCCAAATTATTAAAATGATGGAATTCTCTCAATAAGGACATAGGTACAGTTAGTTAGCACAGGTTAGGGAAAAAAATTCAGTTTTTTAAAAGCAAACGCCCTGAATATCCCTATAGATTTGGGGCTCCACCTGCAAATCATTATTGTCCAGGATGAGTCTCCTTCACATTTCATATCAGCCAGATGGCCAATAATGCTATATTAAGATAATAAAGAAGTAATCAGCTTGAAATGAGGAATGCTAAGGCCTCCGAACAACAGCATAGCTGTCTTTAAAAAGACAAATGGAGCCTCCTTTCAAGGCCTTGAGAAAGCAGCTCACTCCCCGTCAGCACGGAACACCAGAACCTGCTCCACGTTCAAGGTGAAGGGCCAACAAAAGAGGTCAGGAAAGCAGTGGTTAAGCAAATGCTTGGCTGGTCTCTGACATTTCTACTCTGCCATTCTGGTAGTCTCTAAACTTAAGACGAATGCATGGGAATTCATTCAAAGACCAGACCCTCATTCTAGTGTGGAGTTTGGATCCCTCCAGCCACCCAAGTCTGCAGACGGGCAGTGTGGGGCACAGAAAGAGGCTGGCCATGAATTTGTGGAAATGTTATTTGATTCCCTGCTCTGCCCTTCTGGCTCTGTGACTTCGGGCTAGTTACCGCATCTCCCTGGGCCTCAATTTCTTCATCTCTACAATAAAGAAAATGGTCATTGCCTTGTGGGATTTTTTTTTTAAGACTATTTTATTATTTATTTGAGAAAGAGAGTGAGTGAGCATGGGGGAGGGGAGGGGCTAAGGGAAAGGGAGAAGTAGGCTTCTCGTTGAGCAGAGAGCAGGATGCGGGGCTCAATCCTAGGACCCCGGGATCATGACCTGAGCCAAAGGCAGACGCTTAACCCATGGAGCCACCAGGCGCCCCGCCTTATGGGATTAAGAAAATTATAATGAGACGAGGCAAATACATATTAAGCACAGTTCCTGGCACATAGTAGGTTTTCAAGAATTGTTAGTTAGCTTCTTTCTATATCATCCCACACAACTTCTCAGTCTGTGCCAGTAATCGCCAGGGAGATCTTGTGGGAGAGCCAGGAAAGAGGCATCGTCCTCATTCCTCATCCTTACGAACCGGAGAATATCTTTGTTTATTCAGAGTGTGTACTCAGCCAAGGGAAAAGTACAGATTTCATCTAACTTTGTAAAAAAATGCACACCACCTCTTTCAGTATAGAATGCTTCCTTATCCCAACAAAGAGCATATCCCAATCCAAGTAAATTGGAACAGGTTCCTCACTTTTTAAAACTGAAGGCCACCCAGAATTGTTAGTTTCTGAATAAACTCAAAGGGCTGGATAAATCTGAAAACCGAATCAAGCTGATGTAAGAGTATCTATATTTATCATCTTAAATGGTATAATTTATTGTTTATCTCAAATCCAAACTAGATTTAAAAGAAAGAAGGAATTCTAAGTATTTAAAATAGCAACAACCATAATAAAGCAAAATCACCGATCGCAACACAACTCAGTGATAGGAGGCCCAACATAGGGATTTCATTTCATAGACAACTGGGGTAAACTACTAGCTCAGTAGTGCTCCTGGCTCACAGCCCTGGCTCTCACTCCAGCTATATAGCACTGGCTCCCAGCAAGCACATGAAAGAAAGTCTTAGAAATGGAGGTGAGTGGGAAGACTCTGGGCTCAGCTGTCCAGGAATCGGGTCTCACTGAGGTTTTGTTGGAAGCCGGGCAATTAGTTCCCCTTTGGGTGTATAGAAACTTTTCAGAGATCTCTCACCCTCCTGGAAGTTCTATTAAGAACTGCAGATAGGGCAGCACACCTTGTACAGTATATGGTTTTCCTCTTTAAAAAACACAAACTGCTGATAATGTGTCAGAATTCTGTCTTATTTATGAAATATGATATACATGCATTTTGCTTTCATTTTACTGAGGAAAGTAATAATGCTAATGGGAAAACAGTACCTAGGAGAAAAGGTCAAAGCAATCTGGTTGGACTTTACTTTTCATTATCATCAAACTTAAAGATGAGAAGGCTGAGAGGTGACTTTCATTAAACTGATAAACTGAAAAGGTCAGTTGATTGTCCTACACTTGCACCGAGGGGGCAAAACAAAATAAACTCACATTAATCCAGCCTTGTAGATAGCTTTCCCAAATCATGAATTCTAACGAACGCTATTTGTTAACAATGTGTACTGACCCAAATGCTCATTTACTGTTCAGTTTCAATCCCTCCGGA